GATTCTAGTTTTGTAAATTTTGTCGAATTCAGAGATGTGGGCCCGGGGGTCGGGTTTGACCAATTTCGGAATTTTTGATGTAAATTGGATATTTTCTAGTAAGCTTTGTTCCCTTAGCACATTTTGATGGTTTTGTACTGATTTTGATTAGATTTGGAGCATCTGGAGGCCGATTCGAGAGGCAAGGGCATCGCGGGATAGAGTTCGGACCGCATAGAGGTGAGTAATGATTATAAATGATGTTCTGAAGGTTTGAAACCCCGGATTGCACATCGTAGTTCTATATTGAGGTAAGGCACACGTTTGATGACGAGCGTGGGGTCGTGCACTATTGGGGATTGTGACTTGGTCCGTCCCGATTGATGATTTTACCGCGTATTTGACTGAAATCTATTTGTTATCGTCATTATTTGGGTTGAATGCCATATTTGGGCCTTGTGCCAACTATTTGAACCCTTCAGGGATTTTTACTGGTATTTTCTCACTGTTTTGACTTTATACTTGAACTCAGTCATGTTTTATTTCACTGTTTCGTACTCAGCCATCTTTACTTTGTTTTAACACTTAAATGATCTTTTAAATGATATTTTGGGCTGAGAAACATGTTTTACTACTGCCGAGTGGCTTGTGAGGATTTTGATTGAGTAAGGTCGAGGGCCTATATTGTGAGGAAACATTTGATACTAATTATGAGGCTGAGGGCCTGAGATATGTACGCCACGAGGTGGCTTGATTGATATGAGGCCGAGGGCCTAGTGATGATGCCACGAGGTGGCTTGATATTGCGCTTGAACCGTAAGGGGCCCCTCTAAGAGTCTGTACACCCCAGTGAGCGCGGGTACCCATTGTGATGTAAGATTGAGCCCGAGGGGCTGGTATTGTTCTATGTGATTGTCCGAGGGGCTGGTACTATTTTGAGATGTTGCCCGGGTGGCGGATTTGTTGATACTGTGCTCGAGGGGCGAACCTTTATGTGTTTACTTTTTATAATTGACGGTGTTACCTGCTTAATTATTGAAAAAAGGATTTTCATGAAACTACGTTTGAGTTAAAGAATTTTACCTATCTTTCACTGGTTTACTGTTTTAATTATTTTACTACTTCATTATATAATGCTTTGTGCCTTACGTGATTTCTTGCTTTCAGTCTTTATTTACATTTATTACTCACTGAGTTGGAGTACTCACTTTACTCCCTACACCCCTGTGTGTAGATTCAGGCATTGCGGATCCTGCTAGTGCGAATTGAGAGCTCTCGACAGATATCAGAGTCCACGAGGTAGCTGCTTGACGTCCGCAGTCCCGTGTTTCTCCTCCTTTATCATTTCTATCTCTTTTCAGATATTTGTACTAGCTTATAGACTTAGCAGACTTATATTATGACTTATAGATGCTCATGACTAGTGACACCCCGGTTTAGGGTTGTGTTGGGTTGTCCTTCCGCATATTATGATATTACCTGCTACTTAGTATTATTAAATCATGTTTTAGACTGTTTTTTGATGTTTAACTATTTAACATCGAATTGGGAATAGTTGGCTGGTCTTGTCTTCACGAGAGGCTTCATCACGACCAGGTCCGGGTTTAGGGTTGTGACATTATTTTACCAAATTCTTCTTCCAATTTTTCAAAAATCTAATATAAATTTTTGCTACTGGTACAAGAATCCACAAGAGAAAACACAAATGGACGAATGCAGTTTTGAAGCAAATATGAAGCCGTTATCGCTATTGAAATGGAAATAAATAAATCCACACCAAAGAAATACTTATTTTTTGTACGGTGATATTTTCTAAAAAAAAAGTAAACCTTATACAATTCATATACAATTATCATACATTTATTATACAATTTGAAAATAATTTCGATACAATTCTGATATAAATGTGATATAATTATGAACTTCTTCCTTTTCAAGTTTCACTATGAAATTCCANGTTCAATATGAAATTCCACGTAAAACCAGCAACAAACTCCATAAAAACCAGCACAAAACTACCAATAACCATAATTTTTATTTTCAAATTAAAAATTGAGGAGAAAGAACAAATCATATACAAAAAACATACAAACCAATAGAAATTTGGTACAATTTTGATACAAATATTGCATTAAACTTGTATTAATATTCTATCAGGTATTATTTTATGTATTGATGCATCAGATACAACTATAATACAATTCTGATATAGTCCTCAAAGAATTTTAATGCAATTGTGATACAATTATCATACAATCCTAATTCAATTCTTAACTACTACTACTACCAACTCTAAACTTAATCAAATTCCCTCAAAATTGATATATAAACTCCAATATATATTCAATCGTTTGGAAGAAAACCCAATCCAAACAAACCACAAATTCGTAAAATGCGAATAGTGATACAAATGTGATACAATTAGTATACAATCATGATACAATTCTAAAACAACTTCTTCTTTGAGTTTCAATCTGAAAACTTTAACTAAAAACAACTTTGAACTTAACCAATCTTCCTCAAAATTAAAATATAAACTCCAAGGTATATTTTTAGTCATTTACAAGAACACTCAATCCAAACAACTCACAAATTCTTAAAACCTGAATATTGAATTCAAAGCTTCGAAACCTTTTAATGGCTGTTAATGAAACACTTTTCATGCTGCAATTTTAGAGATACTATCGATATATTGTATGAAGTGGGAGAGGTTTGGGTTGATTTATATGAAAGAGAAAGGAATATTTTGAAATCTTTTTTAAAATGTGATAAAAACGTGATTGTAGGAGTTTTCTATAATTGATAACATGCGAGTGAGAAGGGGAGGGGGAGGGGGAAACGTGGGAGGGGGACTATATTAGTTACATGCAATTTTTAAGGGATGCTCTTTTTTAAGGTTTTGTATATAAGTAGTAAATTAAGGGATGCTCTTTTTTAAGGTTTTGTATATAAGTAGTAAATATAGATAGAGAATATAATTTTTAAGGAACCTGAAGAAAAGTGGTAAATAAGTTTTTATTATAGTATAGCTAGATAAATGTCTTTATGCCAACTTAATAGAAAGAAGACCACAAATTCTAAGCCCTATATATTTTTTTTAAATAAAACTATTATATGTTCAATTGAGAAAGAAGCCTAGTATTAGCTTTTTCTTCCTAACATATTTCTGCCGCCAATCCACTGAATAGTCCTCCAAACCTTTTTTTTAAAATTATATTTCTTTAGGGTTTTAGAAAGAGAAGACTAATTTTTATTCTTCCTCTTTGCCATTTCGTCGCTGTCACCATTACAACTATTGTAAATGAAGTGAAACCTTTGTTTCTTCTTCTTCTTCTTTTCTTTGCCATAGCTCCATTTTTTATTTATTTTATTAGATATTCAGAGAGAACAAAAACTATGGCCTGTCACTACCCCCCCCCCCCCCCTTTTTTGAAAAATTTCCGGCCATGACGATGTGACAGTGACAACCTGCAGCGGTGGCAAAATCTCAGGTACGACGGGTACAGATTGATCGGAAAAAAATTGTTATATGAGAAACTGATTCCCCTTAATAGATTTGGAGTAAAACCAAAAACACTCGTCTTTTTTTTATATATAAAAAGACTGATTACCATATTTAATAAAAAAAAATACAAGCACTGGTAATCTCAAAATCAGTGTTGAAACCTTATCACACTGATTTAAAAAAACTATACTTAAAAATAGTGTATATAAAATTTATATGCATTCCAATTGCACACAGTGAAAACAGATACACATATTATTTTACAAAAAGGACAGAACAGATCTATTATTTTTTCGGACCAGAATGCCAACCTATAACTCTGATACCGATGAAAGGAACATGTTAAAATAAATATATTAGATTAGCGTGTAAATCGTAAAATAAGAACTTACGTGTTCTCCGTGAATCGGTAGACGGACGAACCGCGACTGTAATTCCTGGTCGACAATGGTTTACGGTGTGTTGGAGCAACCCCCTATATCACAATCTAAGCCCTTCATTTGATATGGGAGTAGAAAGCATGTAAAATTACTGCTTAGATTAGTATTTTAGTGTACACACTAAGTGTACTTATATAAGAAATATTAGAGTTAACTAATAATCTTATTGGGCTTTAAAGCACCTCTTATGGGTGGACCAATTTTCCTACAATTCCTAAATATCCCTTAGATATCTTTAGCATTTTAGTTAGATGCTCATATAGAGATTCATAATATTAGACCTTGTCTAGGTATGTATGAGAAAGATTCATTTGCTTCGCGATTCACATGAAGTTAATATCTAGGTAGCCCTTCAAACTTAGCACGAAATATTAGTTGAATACTGTAACTTTATCAGTGAAAAATTGAACACCTTAACTTGATCAATATGTGTCTTATGAATTCAAGAGTTAAGTTTGCAATTCATTTGCCTTGGTATAAACAAAAGATTCATTATTGTATTTGCTGAATGTCAAATTTTCATACATTAAGTTCATGTTAAACCATGAGTTTTGCCAGAGTTATAGTTATATGATTTAGATCTTAATACACCAACTCATGGTGCACATTGCCAGAGTTATATTTATATGATTTAGATTCTTAATACACCAACTCATGGTGCACAACAGAAGCTCCAATTCATTTTTGAAATTGGCTAACATAAAAACAAGGATTGCTTGGCAGTAATAGAAATGAATATGTTGTAGTTTATTTTTTAAATTGATTGACATGAAACAAGCAGGTAGCAATGGAAGATAGATTTTTCACTCTTGTGTAGAACTGAAATACTTAAAAGAGCAGTACCTTTTATTTTATTATTAATTTTTTTGTATAATATTGTTTCGAGTTGAGTTTATATGAAATAATATGGTCAATAAAAATTTATATAGCGGAACATAGTTAATATGAGATTGCGACATAGTAATTGTTGTTGTATATATCTGAAATCACTTTGCTTTAGTTTATAGTATATACTAACAACTTGTATAGAATTTTATGGTATCAACCTATTCTTACCAACTAAAATGGATCCTATATTTTATTTTTTAAGTTACCATGTTAATACACTTAAACGTTATCAATTAATAGACCATGACTTTTAACATGTTTTTTTTCCTTTTTCCGGCAGTTAATTCAAAATACAATAAATTTAAGGCCGAATATATAGACAGACACTTATAGTTTATCAGGCACTCGAACATCCTCCCAAATGTGCCAATTAAACACAGACCTCATATCCGATCTTAAAATTTAGGAGCGTGTATGTAAACACGGCTGATGTGTAATATATAGCTAATAAAAATCATCCACATGTCTAAGTAGTCCACATAAGCCGTGTTTGCCTTAAAACAAATTTACCGACTTCATTTTTACCCTAAATCAAACCCGATTCTCCCCACTGTAAAACCCTAAAAATTGTAGGTCGATTATTGTTTGATTTCAATTTTCTTCCATGCTTACAAGTGTGTTTCGTTGTTTAACCGACTATTAAGCGAGGTATTTGTTGAGGTGTTGGTTGCATGTATACAATCCAGAAGTCCAGGTTAAGAAGCTATTAATTTTCCAGATTAATCAAGACTTTTAAGTACAAGTAAGCTTCTATATTGTTTATATTTATGATTATTATAGTTATAGTGGTGAATTTGGAATTTTTCCTAAAAATTTAGGATTTTTTTCTTGTCTGATTGAGAGAATCTTCTGAGCTGGGCTTTTTGTTTTTATCTTTGACATGTCTAGGGAATATATTCAGGCCCGATTTCACCATGGTGGTACTTTTACCATGAAGCCAAACCAAAATACATAGATGAGAAAGACGTGGGAATCTACGGTATTAAAGATCACTTAGTTGGACCTAGACATAAGTCAATTATAACAATATTGGAGAAAATCAGATACAAAATAATGAATAGGGATAATGACATGAGGAATTTTGCTAAGACTTGGATAAGTGACATTTCACCAATAGCAAGGATGATTTAGAGGAGAACAAGGAACTGTATAGGAGATGTAAAGTAAGATTTAATGGATATGATGGTTTTGAGATTGAAGAAGGTGATAAGAGGTTTATTGTTAATATGGTGACAAAGACTTGCACTTGTAGATCCTGGATGTTGAGGGGAATACCATGTCAACATGTTGTTTGTTCATACTATCACTTAGAGCAAGAGCCAAAACAACATGTTGAAATTTTGGTATAGAAAAGAAACACTCCTAAAGGCTTACAAATATTTTCTTCAACCCATGCCCAATATGAAGATGTGGCCAGAATCTAAAAATCCAGTTATTGAGCCTTCAGAGCCAAAACTAATGCCAAGTAGACCAAAAGATGTAGGAGAAAAGCAAAGTATGGCAAACTGTTCAAGAAAGGGGTGAAGATGACATGTTCAAGATGTCATCAAGTAGGACACAACAAGAGAGCCTACAAAACAGAGGTAATGTTGTTCAATTAAGTTTAATTGTGCTTTATAATTCAATACTTAATCATTTATTTGGTATTACAATTGCAGCCTGCTATGAGACAGTCAAGTCAGTCAACTCAGCTAAGAGAACCAACTCAACAAAGACAGCATGCTCCATCCTCAATTTGTGATGATACAACTGTTGTCACCAGATGTAATCTGGACACAATCAACTGGTGTAGGCAGGGGTAAGGGAACAGGGAGAGGTACTGGCTTAAGAAATGGAGCATTCCAAACAGCTGCTTCTAGAGGAAGAGGATTTGAAACCAGTCAAGAAGGCACATCCTCTAACATTGAACAAAATAGACCAAGACCTGCAGGGTGGAGCAACAGTTCTGAATGTAAACAACAGTTATCTTAAGCAAATGTTATTTTATATTTCATATTAATTGTGACTATGTGGCAATTTTAACCTGGTAATCCATCTGAAAGAGTGATATCATAGGGGAGACCTCTGAATAACACAGCTGAAACCAATATAGATATTGGATTTAAGCCGCCTGGTCTAAAATGGAAAGGCAAACAAGCAGTGACAACTAACCAACTCCAGCGGATGAGTGCATCAAAGAATACAAAGACTTCTAATCAAGAAGGCACATCCTCATCTTTTCTGTCAGGCTAAAGGAATGGAACCAAGTGACTTCATTGTTTAATATGGTTTAGGTGCTTATTTAATTAAGTAATTGGACATGTAATGACTTCTTGAACAACAACTTTATTTTTATATTGTATTGATGGTTACATGATTAGACTTTGGTTTAGTTCTTATATTGGCTTCAAGAACAGCTTGTGCTTTAACTCTTGTATTTTAGTCTTGTATTGGCATCATGAACAACCTATTTTGTAGCTCTTTATGATCTTAGAGATATATATAAGTCTTCATTTGGCCGCTATTATACGATCTTGCTGTTAACCTTCATACTCTTGTATTTTAGTCTTGTATTGGTATCATTTATCAATAACATTTATACAAATCTTGCACCAGTCAAATATAGTCTAAGCCATGTAAAGTAGACTCAAAAATACCATTATCATTAATTGAATACATAATCCAAATTTGGGTACACTTTATGTCCCAATCATGACCAATGATACCATTTCAATTACAACCAGTGATACCGGGTACAAAATTGTGTAAAAGTCTTACAATAGGTAATACAACGATGTGTTCTTATCGCAGCTAATACAATCAACCAGTAATACCATTCCAAACCCACAACATAAATATCATAACTAACACCAAGCAACTTCTTTTCCACACTTTAGCATTAAGTTCAGTTGCATCATTCTTTTTGACCTTCTTCAACAACCCCCATATCACCCTTGTAGCTTGATCTGAAAATTGAGGCTCATATCACATAAAAAATTTGCATCCACTTTTGTCTTGAAAGCAGACAAAAAACATTAGAATTTATAAAACCAACAAATAATAAAGAAAAATTCAACAACGATGATAAATTCATGCGCTTACTTCGTCAATTCTATAGCGATAAAATCGACGACCTGAGTTTCTTTCTGACCATGATGTTTTTAATAGAGCATTTATCGTACAGTGACAAATAATCGGTCCATTATACAAATTCATTGTCCTTTGCGAAATTGAACTAGACGAATCCACTACCAATTACATCGAGTCACAAAACAATAAATAGAAAAGGAAGAAAGAAACAGAAGAAAATCATTTACTTGTTTGAGCCTTCAGTTTGTGGTAAGAAACAAGAAAAAGATATTGAACAATTTCAACTTGGATCTTCGATCTCCTATGTTAGAGACGACCTATGATTTTTTTAGGGGGAAAATATGGTAAATTTTTGGGTTTGGGGGAAGGGGTAAAGAATCTATTTTTTTACCGGTGGAATCCTCTGTGTCAATAAAAAAATCAATTTTCATGCACCTATTTTTAATTAACGTCACGTTATATTACAAGTCGAACACTCTGTATTTAATTGACACATATTAAAAGACGTTTGAGTGCCTCGTAGGAAAGACCTAAACTTTATGTGTCCATATAAAAGTGGGTGCCAAGTTTCGGTGCCTGTCGATGTATTTGGCCTAAATTTAACTAGATTTCATGAATTGAAACCACAACTGTGGCAATTTGGAGTCTTGTACTTGCAGACGAGCAAAGTAACGGACACACCAAAAAAAGAAGGAAACCCCGAAAAACAGACCTTGCCTCATATTCAGTTGGCATTTTCGTTTTACAAAAACCCTAAACAATTTTGAAATAGCAAAGTGAGAAAGTTTATCATCTTCTTCAACCATGGCAGAAGCAAATTCTGTGACTCAAAGCTCTGAACAGCCCAACAAATTGCCTGAAGCTGTGGCAAATCAAAACCCGCTGCCAAACATTCCTGAAAATGAAGCTGAAAAAAGTGGGCCTCAAAGTAAGTTTGGTCTCTGGTCTTTAAAGCTATTGAAACTATCAATTGGTCATATTTAACTTGAGTGATGATAAAAATTGAGCTTTTGTGATATCTCATTTTTGCAACTTTACAGGATGGTCGGGATTTAGTATTTTTAATCTGCGGAACCATCACTTATGTGTCTGTAACTTGTCAAGTGTGGATATACTTGACTTCCAGAGTAATAAAAAAATATGATGTGTCTGTGTTCCTAATTTTTGTTTCATTATTTGAAAAAAAACCGTTCGGTAAGCAGAAGAGAAACAACTATTGTAGGAAGGACTGGGAGCTTTAACTCCC